GAGGATTCTTTGTCAAGCGGTTATCATGTCCCCGTAATAAGCTACAAATACTTCACATTGTTCTGAACATTTACCAATGTCATTTGTATAATTTATGAGACCATTTTTAAAGTATTCCCTCCACAAATGCAAACGCATATGTTTAAATGCGTACGTGATATGTTGTGTGTACATGCCTTGGGGGTCTAGTGGCTCCAGAAGCTGCATACATGCATCACCAATGAGCTAACACTGATGATTAATGCAGATGAGGACATATTATGGCTTAAGAAAAGTGTGTCACAAAAAAACGAAGGTGATGGTTACAATTGTCGGTGGCAAGTCTGAAAGTGAAGAGCAAGGAAATCCTGAGTCAGAGAGGGAGAGATTAAAAATGTTTCCAGGGCTTAAAGACGGGGAGAGGCGGACAAATTGGGGGAAAAGTGACACAAAAAGTGTGGATTTATGCGAACCTTAACTGTACAGCACACTGCTGTTTTCTCAAACTGCGAGCGTCACAGGTTCACACATTACTGAGAAGATTTCACTCTGTCCTAGAGAATAAAAAGTCTGAGGTCATTTTCTCAAACTGACGTGCGCTATATGTTCTACATTTCTATTTCATGCTATTTGTGCTCGTCATCCTCTGCGGTTGCCTCTAACCACAGGCCTCCACATTGAGCTGATTGAGTTTACTCTGTGTCATGGATAGAAGAATGTGCTCAAAGGGCTGCTTTAAAGGTCACGTTGTAGGCTTCACTTGTCTTTCACATAATATAGCTTTCAGGTTGCTCAAATCTCCCACATCGGAACCATCCACATAGACAACCAGTCTAAACATGTAGACATGTCATCCCCAGGGACGGACATACTGTTATTTAGTATTTCTAGAGTTTAATAACCTGAACTTCTATTGCCAGGCAAAAGACGTTCTCCTTAAAACCAGTTTTATGTTTTCACCAGTGTTAAGCAACCTGACCAAATACATGGAGGCGAAGTCCTGCCCTTTCCAGTGGACCACATTGGGACCTTATTTAGAAAAAAAATATGTACGTCATTCAAGACATATAAAGAGATATAATAATGTTCTGATCCCCTTGCATTGTGCCATGAATTGCATATACGGTGTTGGTTGATTTTAAAAGATAATTCTGCATGTTAAGAAATTTGCATTTGGTTGTTCATAAGACCGTGACTGTTGCTCATAAGACCGTGAAAAAAAAAAGAAGTAATTGGAAAGGGAACACACACAATAGTCACATAAGTGATGTCTCTCGCTGTGTGTTTCCTACCAGGATGAACTCTCATGAACAACGGGTCTTGTTATTTCGCTTCCCTGCTCATAAAAAAGATTTGTTGTATAAAATGCATTCAGTAAGCCAGCGTTACATTTGTGCGTGGAACATAGCAAACTACATGTTGGTGTTGGGGACGTATATTGTGCAGGACGAGGGAGTTCACTGAGAGGTTGCACACGAAACTAAATGGACAACTTCGACAAACCTTAGACATTCTGCAACTTTCTTTATTTGCAAAAACGGGATCAAAATAAATAGTCTTTCGCTGTTTACTACCGTACATGTTTTTTTTAGACATAAGGTTCCATGGGGAACACCAGAAGAAAAATAACTTTCTATGGAGGAACTCCATTAACTCTGAGCTTTTAGTTGAATCTGACGCCTGCATTCTTTGCTGTTTGTCTTCACTTTGATCAGTTTCAAAAAAACCCTTCTCATGTTGTGTTTGTCTATTTTACAATCATTCATTCTTGAATCTTTCTTGAGATGCCAGGAAGGCAGATGCATGTAATTATACTGGCATCATTTTCTTATTTAATCATAGGCGTACAGAAGTGTTTAACAGGGATGCAGAGGCTTAGATGTAGGTTTATAGAATGCATTTGGTGTTGGAAAGAAAATGCCTCCCTTTTTTTTTTTTTCTCTTGGAACAGCTGTTCAGAGTTTGTTCAATCAACTGACTATGTTCACTCTTGAGTTAAGCTTGTATGTGGTGAAGGCTTGTGAAACAACCTCTCTGCAGACAACAGAATGCCTTTCCATCCATCCTGTTTGCTGGAATGCTGTTGCTTGTAGAGCTGCTACGCTGAGCCAATAGGAACTTCCCTGACAGACTAAACAGACTTTATATTGCTTAATTTCCTGTTCCCGTTTCTTTGGGTTTGACAAATGAAAGAAAAGGCTTTGAAGGTTGTCTATCCACAGCAATATACAAACGGTACAGAACACGGTTTTAGGAAACGCCGCACACAGGTACCCGCATACTTAACCTCACACACTGTTTACACACAAGGATACTGTGCAACTGTTCTCCGAAATCTTCAAAGATGCTTTAAGATCAACCAGCTCTCCAGCTCAGATCCCGCTTAAGCCAATTTATTGACCTTAGTGCAGACATGAGTTTGATCTTTGGAGGATTGTCTGATTTGTTTTGACATCATTTTTGTTTCCCTTCTTTTCTCTTTTCCTCATTTACTATCCCTCCTTTCTGTCTGCCTCTCTCCTACTCTGATACATCCTTTTTCTGATGTACAGAAAACCGCTTCCGATGGGATTAGAAGCTTGAACTGTCAGGGTTAGCTGGATGTTAGGGATGTTGGAGTTGGAAGGGTGGAGGGTCGGAAACCACCTCAAGGGTACTGATCCCTGAGTCTGCAGGTGTCAGTTTAAGCATGAGGAAAAGCTCTGCCTCGTGCTGCTAGAGAAGAGAAGAGAAGCAGGAGAGGCAGCTGCGCTCCAGGCCCTGGAAATCAGCAACAGCTTAAAAACGTCAGACCTCCATGCCCCGGCTTTGTGTTTTAATCCAAAATAAATCATTAAAAGGTTATGTAGTAATACTGAACTTCAGAACTGCTGAACCACTCAGATTACAGTTCTGCTTCGAAGGCAAAGTAACGCACTTTCATTTTAAGAGTAAGATGCAATTTCAGTCTGACCCAAGCTGCCTGTTCAGTCCGCGCTTAATGAGTCCGGTGGCTAGGCCATGAACCGCTCTTTGGTTGGTGGTAATTGGATGTTTGTGGTTTAGGTTTCAGTCCCAAATTGAATCTTGATCCAATTAACCCTTTATGCACTGTTACAATACCAATACCACACTGCTGTCTATTTCCATTTTGATTATGGTAGCAGCTGATATATGGTGGAAGTGTCGGGGAGCAAAAGAGAGATTGAGCGTTTTGATTTTTCGATCCACTATTTGCTGTTTGATTATATAAACGTTCTGGATCAATGAGAAGTCAACACCACCAGGTCTGCAAATGTTGGCACAAATGTTTCTCAGCAGCAATATATTGTCATAAAACACAGAAATGCATGAGCCTGATGGGAGGAAGTGTGATTAAAAAAAAAATGCAGTTTAATAAATCTAAAAATATTTCGTACACTCACTCTAAAAATTGATTTTCACATAAAATAACAGATTGCTTATGGTCCAGCGCTGGTCCAAATGTGGGAAATCAATCAAAACCTTCGCAGCTGCACTTTTGAGTACTGCAACTTTTGGTACTTGATTAAATTGATGTAGTGCTTTTACATTTTGTAAGTTTCTTCTTCATACTAGGTTCAAACGTCTTCAGAAGGCTTTGTCTGATAGAACAATAACTATTCATATTGTTATAAATAATGACATTAAAGCAGACCTGTACATTTTTATCATCTTTATGCAGACAGATTCATCTTCATGTGAATCATTTCCAAATACTGTTTTTAGTTTCCATCCAGGGGGTAAACTTCATTCTTAAGAAAAGTGTATAAACCCATTGATCATATCAATGAGTTTATCAATCGTGAGGAAGAACGATTTTTGGCAATTAACTGAGGTGTAAGACTGCCTGGATCATTTTATTTAATTGTTATAAGAGTAGATTTAAATGTACCTGCAAATGTCACTTCAGTGTGGTTCATACCACATCTTACAGCCATCCTATGGCTCGTAAGCCTCAGAGCAAATTTGTGTTCTTTGTCTTGTTTACCCTCTGATGTCCGGCCTGCCAGCTGCTGTCAATCAAGCATGAACACGTACAGTATGTCCCTCCGGCAACTGAGACAAAAAGATGTATATCTGATATTTCCTCAAAGAAGAAGTTAAGGCATTGACATTATTTATGACTACAAAAAGGGATGGCTGAATATTGATATTAAAGTCCAACTGAAATCGCATCCAGTTATTATTATTATCATTATTATTATTAGTAGTAGTACTACTTCCTATGTGTAGAGACTTCTTCAGTTCCTAAAAAAAGCTTTAGTAAAATGTCACCTCTCATCCTCTGCACCATCATTCTCTTCTAAAAAAAGACTGTTGTTGACTCTGATCGTTTGCAAGGGCATCTGAAATCGATAAGTTAGAACAGCAACTCTTATTACTTATTACGTTTCCACACCTTGACAGCAGCTCGCCAGGCCTGATGAGGAGCACACACACACACACACACACACACACACAAATAAGCACCTCAAGGTCTCCTTCATGTTTGAGCGACCACAGAAATTATGTGCTGATGACACCTAAACAGATTGTGTAATTACTTTTGCCCTGGTGGCCCTGGCCTGCAACAGAGATTTCCAAGTCCTGAAGCAGGTTATTACCGATCCCAAATTTTAGTGTTTGGATGCACCTGACATTAATCATGTGGTGCAAAAATGCTCAAGTTCAAGTTGAGCTTCCAGGACAAGGAAAGACTGGAGGAAAGGGGGGAAGCCTAACGGGGTTAAAGATTGCGGGTGACATTGGAGCGGGGAGTGCATCCTGTGTTCAAATTGTGATCCCTTCTGTGCTTGTTTGTTCTACTGAAAGCCGGCAGGCAAAGGTCATCTTAGTTTTTTCTGGGCACTTTATGTTAAACAGCATGCCCTGCTAAAGAACATATAAACTACAGAGCACTGATGAGGTGGTAGATTCGTCGTACAAACAGACCATCAGGCAGGTGTTAGGCTGGTGGTCTAAATTAATCTCGACATACTTAAATAGCTCTCTACTAATTTGCTCATTTATTGTTTCTTCAGGCGCATGCTGCCTTCCGGCACCTTGGGAGAAAACACTATATTTTGTGCTCACCTGCTACGTAGAAGAAGAAGAAGAAGAGGGAACGTAAAGATGTCAAAGCACTGACAAGGTGAAGAAATGGGTCATGATGTCTTCTTTTTATATTTAACTGTGAGGGAATGATGGCCGGGCTCTTTTTAGTTAGTGTTCAACTGCAGATACAGAGCAGATTAATGTTGACTCCTCTCACTCGCCTCACCTGAAGTCGTGTTGGTTCAGTCAGTAGCAGTGAAATGATTAACTGCCAGAGTCGTGACACTACTAGAGGTCAACCCAAGTGTCCTCGGTATTATAAAATATAGACTGAGGAATGACGGAAGATTAAATATATGTATATATTCTGTAGTAATCAACTCCCACCTTTTTAATGTGAGTTCAGACCTCATAGTTATGATGATGATGATAATACTTGTAATAAATTTGGTTCCTAGTCAATAATCCGAAGTTTCCAACAACAAGAATTTAATCTCAGTGTGAAACTCCCCGGTGGAAGCGAAGGTTAACCTTGCTTCAGAGGTGTAAATAAAGATCTGTGCTGTGGTCTCCTCTGAGAAAGCAGGTGGTATTGGTGACATAATCACACCTGTGGAGGGAAATGAGAACGACAAGAGACGGTTATTAACAGAGTACAGGGTTTTGAAATTGATTCATCAGGTGTGAGACAGCAGTTACCTTCCTCTGCACACCGTTTGCTCATAGTTGCAACATCCAGGTGCATACTGCCACCTACTGTACATGATTTTATGATGTTAAACTTTGAAGTATTCATTCATATTCAATACCGCACACAGAATAGTTCAACAAATCCTGCATTCAGAATTGTAATTTAGTAAAAGTACAGCAGTATTCCTGAAGTCAAACCTTTTTATTTACTGTTGTGCTGGTAAACCACACCAACATATTTCATGAGCTTATATGTTTGATGTGTAAAATCATAATCACAAAATGGAAGTACATCAAATATAGGCCTACATCAAAATTGTCCTGAAACATTTTGGTTTGGCTTTTTGGTAAAAATCCCAGCCCGTGTGCTGGAAACAAACCTCAAACCAAAACTAGCGTCTGCATTTTGGAAAACCGAAAAATGTCACCAAATACACGGACACATTGTATATTGTTGACATATTATGGGATCGTTGGACCCACAGGGGATTTTGCTACTCAAGCTACATTCTACAGTTTATGAGAACGGAGACAATTAATGTATATTTTATGTTTTAATTTGTTATTATATATATTTATTTCTCCATGTGCATTGGAAAGTAAAAACCAGTGGTTTACAAAGTTTCTCTGTGCTCATCTTAACGACGTGAACATACAAGCAGGATCACAAATGGTTTGAAAGCCAATGATGGTCCAGTGTTCAACAGACTTTTGAAACGGTATTTGCGTATCCAATAACAAAATGTCTGGAGGGGATCTTCAACCTTTACCTCTCAACTCAAACTATGATTTTACAACTGGGAGCATCAGGTACATCTTAAATATTAACTTCACTGAGAAACTCGAGAAGACTTCTTTTTCTTTTTCTATTTTTTTTTTCTTTTTTTCTTCAAGGGGACCTTGACAGTTGGTGTCAATGAATAAGCATTACCTATTCGCTGTTCCTCTCCACTATTCCTCCTCATTTTCCCCAACAATGTCCCAGTGACAGCCCGACTCTGTCTCTGGTTTAACTCCCTCAGCGGAGGATTAGTCAGGTGAGGATTTGCCACAACAGGTCGACTTTTTCCATGCATCAAATCGTGTTCACGAAGCATGCCGTCCTTCTGAGGGATGCTGCGCAGTCCTGACAGTTTTTTCAGCTGGGAAACGCGCGCTTCCTGTCAACTGAAATTCCTTCTAGACACCACACTGTGATGACACCTCTCTGGTGCCCACACAGCATTCATATCTGATTTCACCAGGACAAACGCACAGACAGAAATGGCAAGGTAACATTTACTGTACTGCTAGGTTAATGTTTTAAGTCTGTTTTTAATGCAATACCCTCATGCATTTACTTTGAAAAACACTTATTGATTGTTGATACTAGAGGTGAAGTGATCCCTTCCTGGCATCACTCTGATACAGTCTCTGTTCTGTGCAAAAAGGCATTCTCAAGTTTAGTCGACTCTCAAGTGAGAATCTACCAAAGTTGGTTCTTTTAGTACAAATTTCTCTTTGACTTTTTCCAGACAGGTTTTCCTTGCGTGATGACAAGTATCTGGAGACTTAAATCTATATTTTCTATGGTGTTTCAGCCTTGTTAAATATGATATATGTAGTTTATGGTTTCACATTTGTAAATGTATTATTCTTGCTTACACTTGAAGAGCTTTGTACAATGTATACAAGCTCATCAACCTTGATCAGTGTGGATGGAGGTGCAGCTGCTGGCGCTCTTGGGTTTGAGTTTGTTTTTTTTTGCTGGGTACGTTTACAGTACAGGTGCTGTTGAGGTTCTGAGGCACCGAAACATCATAAAAAAAGTGAGTGCAAGTGATTGACGGTGTGCAAGACTTTCTGCATCACAGTTCCAAGTCTAGAATTTGACGCTCCTGCCGACAAGACTTCGTACTAAATGATCACGGTTTGATCGTGATCCCTGAGTTAAAGGGGTCAGTTTGTCCAACTCTCCTCCTAAATAATGGCATCAAACCAGCTGTAGCCCCTTTGGCCAACAGAAGGTGATGTGTTGTGGAACCTCTTTATCCTGGGATAAAACACACGGTTCAATGTCCAGTCCAACAACACAACTGCACTCGTTTGCCCTGAGCCAGGTGTCTTTGCTTTGAGAAATCGACGTGTGTGTGTGGAGGGATGGAGCCAGTGTCTACTTGGTCTCCATGAACTATATTGAGAAAAGTCTAAAAACTGGTTCCTTTTATATTTACTTGGAATAAAACTTGGACAATATCTCGACGTGAACTGCATGGGCTTTAATGATCCATCATTGCCTTCTACTGGGAGCGCATTCTCCTGGAAGCAAAGAGGATATTGACCATGTCCCTGTGTCTCCATTTTCCTTGACAGACGAGGTGTGTGTGTGTGTGTGTGTGTGTGTGTGTGTGTGTGTG